CCAAAGTGGCTGTACCAACTTGCATTCCCACCAACAGTGTAAGAGGGTTCCCATTTCTCCACAACCTCTCCAACATTTGTTGTTTCTTTCCCTGTCAGTTTTTGCCATTCTAACTGGTGTAAGGTGGAATTGCAATGTGGTTTTGATTTGAATTTCCCTGATGGCTAATGATGATGAACATTTTTTCATGTGTCTGTTAGCCATTTGTATGTCTTCTTCAGAGAAGTGTCTTTTCATGTCTTCTGCCCATTTTTTGACTTTATTATTTGTTTTTTGGGTGTTGAGTTTGAGAAGTTCTTTATATAACTTGGATACCAGCCCTTTATCTGAAATGTCATTTGCAAATATCTTCTCCCATTCAATGGGTTGCCTCTTAATTTTGTTGACTGTTTCCTTTGCTGTGCAGAAGCTTTTTATCTTGACGAAGTCCCAAAAGTTCATTTTTGCTTTTGTTTCCCTTGCCTTTAGAGATATGTCTTGAAAGAAGTTGCTGTGGCCAATGTTGAAAAGGTTACTGCCTATGTTTTCCTCTGGGATTTTGATGGATTCCTGTCTCACATTGAGGTCTTTCATCCATTTTGAGTTTATCTTTTTGTATGGTGTAAGAGAATGGTCCAGTTTCATTCTTCTGTAAACAGCTGTCCAATTTCCCCAGCACCATATATTGAAGAGACTGTCTTTTTCCCATTGGATATTCTTTCCTGTTTTGTCAAAGATTAGTTGACCATAGAGTTGAGGGTCCATTTCTGGGGTCTCTATTCTGTTTCATTGATCTATGGGTCTGTTTTTGTGTCTTCTGCCAAAACACAATGATGTTTTGTGATCACAGCTTTGTCATATAGCTTGAAGTCAGGCATTGTGATGCCCCCAGCTTCGGTTTTCTTTTTCAACATTCCCCTGGCGATTCAGGGTCTTTTCTGGTTCCATACAAATTTTAGGATTGTTTGTTCCAGCTCTGTGAAAAATGTCAATGGCATTTTCATAGGGATTGCATTGAAAGTAGATTGTTCTGGGAAGCATAGACATTTTAACAATGTTTATTCTTCCAATCCATGAGCATGGAATGTTTTTCCAACTTTGTGTCTTCCCCCATTTCTTTTATTAAGTGTTCTGTAGTTTCTAGATATAGATCCTTTACCTCTTTGGTCAGGTTTATTCCTAGGTATCTTATGGTTTTTTTGGTGCTATTGTAAATTGAATTGATTCCAGATTTTTTATTTTTAAGTCATCTCTACACCCAGTGTGGGGCTCGGACTCACAACCCCGAGATCAAGAGTCACATGCTCCAGCAACTAGCCAGCCAGGAGCCCCTATGAGATATTTGCTTAAACTGCATTAAGGCTCAGACCAGGGTTTTACAGCCTCAGAACTATTGACAGATAATCAGATAATCAGGCTTTTTGAGCTTCAGATCGTTCTTTGCTGTTGGGGGCTGTCCACAACAATGTAGGATGTTGAGTAGCATCTCTGGTCTCCCTCTACTAGATGCCAATAGCACCCCTCTCCCTATTGTGACAACCAACAATATCTCCAGACACTGACAAATGTCCCCTTGAGGTGAAAAATCTTTCCCTGTTGGAAACCACTGGCTCAGATTTTTTCCCTAGCTTTGGTGGAAAGCAATAAGGGATTAATAAATAAAGTCACGTAATTACACTTGTGCTTTTAAAATCTGGAATGTAGATGGCGGATCTGCTGGTGTGAGACTAGAGGCTGGGATGTGGTCCATGGCCAATTTTGCATGAGCAACTCGAAGCCTGTGGTCATGCCCCACATATGTCTCACGTGCAGGCTGGGAATGTGTGACGTCACAACAGAAGCTTGTGAAGACATTGCCTCTGTCCTTGTCTGCAATAAGAAGCTGAAGCTTCTCTCCCTGGTAGAAAACCCCCTGAGGAACGAAGGCATGATGATACTGTGTGATGCCCTGAAGAGCCCAGATTGTGTGCTGGAGACACTGTTGTAAGTCCGTCTGGGCAAGTGGGCTCTGGGGAGACTGTGAAAGTGTGCACATGCACCCCTTGATAGTCAAGGTGACCAAATGCTCACTGAGGGAGGCTGTAGAACACAGACTCTGGAGTCAGACCTGACTCTCCATGCCTTTGTTGCCCTGTCAGAAAAACAGCCAACTCAAATACCTCCTCTATAGAGGTGCCATGAGGTTGAGTTCAGGAGTGTGAGACCTGCCCTTAGGTGCATCTCATCTACTTGAGAGCCCAGTAAATCCTGGTTTTCGTGAAGGACCCATGCCTTTGATATACTGGGTGCTGGGGACTATTGAGACAAGGCATTCATCTAATTCCTTTTAGGAACAGGGTTCATACGTTCTAGGTTATTACTGGGATTCTCCAGAGCTGCCATTTCTCTCCTGCTGCAAACATACAGAGTGAACTGCGTCCTCTGCTTCAGGCGGTTGACTAGGGCAGCGGTAGAGTGGATTCTCTGTTTGCCCAGTGAGGCCACATGGGCAACTTAGCGTTAAATCAGGCAGACTGCTCTTGTGCCTTAAAGATTTTATTTATTTATTTATTTGAGAGAGAGAATGAGAGAGAGAGAGAGCATGAGAGGGGGGAGGGTCAGAGGGAGAAGCAAACTCCCCGCTGAGCAGGGAGCCCGATGTGGGACTCGATCCCTGGACTCCAGGATCATGACCCGAGCCGAAGGCAGTCGCTTAACCAACTGAGCCACCCAGGCGCCCTGCTTTTGTGCCTTAAAGTGGGGACAGGTGCAAGAATACCAAATCCATGGGCATGCATGAGTAGTCCAGACACACAACTTTGTTGTGTGCATGTATGTGTGCATATAGACATATGCATTGCACACATGCACACAGTGGCATCTAAGACAGTAGAGGGAAGGAGTACTATCACTGAGATCACATTCTAGACTGTATAAGAAAAATCAACAGTAAAATATGTTCCCAGAACATTAAACATCGAAACCAAACTAAGAAAGAAAGAAAGAAAAAAAAGCTTTGATCTGTGAAGATTAGAATGAAAAATCTTCAAGGGTATGAAAGAAATGACACATTGGAAGGTGGAAAGATTTGGCTATTAAATAACTGACTGGTATTACACAATGAATAGAATTAACATGTACTCAATGACTGGTAATTAAAATGGGCTGTATTTTTCTAAAGGGTTCTTCAAGATATATCACTTAATGAGGTTTTTTGTTTATTTGTTTCTGCACTTGAATCTTTATGCCTTAAAAATACGTGGAATTTAAGAAACAAAGTAAACAAACAAAGAAGGAAAAAAAGAGACAAAAAACCAGACTCTAAATACAGAGAACACACTGGGGGTTGCCAGAGGGGAGGGGGGTGGCAGGATGGGTGACATCATGAAATAGGTGATGGGGATCAAGAGCACATTAACCATGATGAGCACTGAGTAACGGATGGAATTGTTGAATCACTATATTGTACTTCAATAAAAAAATTTTTAAATGGAAGACTACTGAACATGCAGGAATGTCACTAGTAATTTTAAAAGCAAAAAATGTTCAACAAAATGATACCCTTTACAACAAATGCACAAAATTTTGAAATATATTTCACTTGGCCAGGATTCTGCAAAATGGACAAGTTTATACTATGATTCGAAGTATTAATTTGTCGAGTTTTTTTTCAAAGTTAGCAAATAAGTCAAAGCGAAATGAAAAATCCTAAAAGTAAGCCTCAGGAGTTCAAAAAAATTTTTTTGGGTGCAAGGCAGTAATTCAGTATAACTTAAATTGGCAGAAACTGTAAAGAATACAAGTGGAGATATTCAGGGAGTGCACAGAGTAGTGAAGCCACTGGATCTTATATTATGCAACCATTAAAGTATTAGTGAATTTTCAAAATGCTGGAAAATGGTTATTTCATTGAAAAAAGTATGAATGATGTGTCCATTTTCTGATCTCAAAACGAGAAGACCAGAAGGAAAACCCATCACAGGTGAGCTGTGTTTGCTTATCAGGAACTTATGCTTTTTTCCTGCCAGAGGTCACGCTCAGGGGCCCCCTGAAGCCCAGGTAAGCAACTGGAGTGAGAGGGGCTGGGTGGGGGTGCTGGTGAGTTAGGAAGCACCTGCCTCTCCCACAGGAGAGTTTCTGCTCCTTTCCACCATGTGACCATCTGCCGTGGAATTCCAGGTAGCTGGCTTGCCTATGGGAGGTAGAAGTGTGGAATTCCATGTGAAATCTCTTGGTTCTCAAATGTTGACTGCTAATTTTTTTTTAAAAGATGTTCAACATAAGGTCACCTAAATTCATTACATCCAGGGGTCACGTTCAGCTGTGAGCTACCAGGTTGTGACTTGTATTTTATGCCTTCCACTATTTTCCAACTTTCCAACAGTGGTTGTACAAGAACTCAGAACCACAAAACTAATTTTTCAATAACATTTTAAAAGAAAAATCCTGTTAAGTAGGACGTCATCCAGCACATTCCACCAAATAATAAGCAGGCCATGTCATGGAGAAGGGATGACTTTGGCTAATGTTACCCAGCTGATGGCGATCTGACTTGGAACTGGAATCTGAGAACTGGAATTTGAGAAGCCCTATTCCATATTCCACATTTTTGCTTCTGTGTTTCTGCAGCTGCTGCATGTTCTAATCTTCTTACTTTTCTCAGATGACCATGGAATATGAGGAATGACTTGCAAGTTTTGCATGTGGCTTCATGAAAATATTACCAGAAGAGCTTGAGTGGGTTGACCAGTTGAGTGTGTGTGTATGTCTTTACAGGCTGATGTGCTGTTGCCTCACCTCTGTGGCCTGTGACTACATCTCCCAAGTCCTTCTGTGCAACAAATTCCTGTCCCTTCTTGATCTGGGGTCAAATTTCCTGGAAGATAATGGAGTGGCATCTCTTTGTGAGGCACTGAAGCATCCAAACTGCAATATTGAGCAGTTGTGGTATATCTGGCTATGATTTACGTGAATGACAGAGTTCCTTTTTTTGGATATCAGCATCCTGGGAAGGAAATGGGAAGGGGTAAAATCATGGGGTCTGCTGAAAGAAAGCAAGGCTGAACGTTGACCCTGCCTGATACTTGTGGGAGTGTCCAGTGGCACTGACGTGTGTGAGCTTGACCAAAGAGCTTGACAGGACTTGGTAGGACATGCTACTCTGGAGTAGGGTCTCTGGCCCCCAGAAGACCAGAAATGGAGTCCCAAGTGCCCTGGCTAGCTGGGTGAATTGTGAGGTGCCTCACCTCTCCTCCAGTGTGACATGAGGATAATTACGTTTCCCACATCAAAGAATCGAGGTGACCAGAGGGAATAACGTATGTAAAGTACTATTACCAATGGCTTGCCCAAAACAAGCGCTCAGTAAATGACGGCAGAAGGCATATAGCATAGATATCATTCACAGCTTCTCCTGGGCACTGTAAATAAGATGAATTGGTAAATGAAATGCTCCAGTATCTCTGTTTCCATGGATGTCAATTTTATGGAGTGTCACACGCACACACTCATACACACATGAGTGTGGGTTGCAAGTATGTGTGTATATATCATGGTTTCTTGATCTTAGCACGAATGACATTTTGGCTTTGATCATTCTTTGTTGTGGGGAGCTGCTGTCCTGTGCTTTGTAGGGTGTTTAACACCATCTCTGGCTCGTACCCACTAGATGTCAGTAGTACCCTCTCTCCCAGTGTGTCAAACCAAAATTACAGGCATTGTTTGATGTCCCCTGGGGCGGGGAGGAGCGACAAAAATCATTCCTGTTTGAGACTCACAGAGACGCATACACACATATATGTATATGTCAGACTCATGAAAATATGTACACATATGTTAGCAGGTGGTAAGTACTGTGGGGAGCTCAGAGGTAGGGCACAGACTAGGGACATAAGACTATATAAAATATTCAGGGAGGTCCTCACCAAAGGTGACATTTGTTTAGAGATTTGGAGGAGGTGAAGGAGTAACCCCACTGATATTTGGGCAGGAGTGTTGCAATCAGTGAGAACGGGAGCCGAGGCCCCAAGGGGAGCAGAGACAGGCAGCAGAATTGCAGTCCAGCATGTTGGGCAGGAAGATGGAGGCCCGTGAAGTCATGGAACCATCACCATCACCATCTCAGAAGTACTTGGGTACTTTTTCCCTCATATGAATAAATGAAAACAAGCCAAGCTCTGTGAGGTGGGACCTCATGATTGTGTCTGTTGGTGTGTATTTCCCCCCAGGTTGGTGGATTGTTGCCTCACTTCTCTCTGTTGTAAGGACCTCTCTGCTGTTCTTGTTTGCAGTGAAAAGCTAAAGACCCTGAAACTAGGGAGCAATGACATCCAAGACGCAGGTGTCGAGCAGTTACGTGAAGCTCTGAAGCATCCGGACTGTAAAGTAGAGAATCTTGGGTGAGTGTCCACTGATTGCCTTTATGAGAAGGCGTACCTATTTCAAGAATAGGAAAACCTCAAGGTGGTACATAAAGGAAGCAAGTTTAAGAACAAGTGTGTCCTGAACGATGTGATAAGTAAAATGCTATCCCATGAAGCCAGGGCTTGCTCAACTTTGGCTCTATTGACATTTGGGACTGGGTGGTTCTTTGCTGTGGTGGGGAAGGGGGTCTCATCGTGCTCATTGTACGATATGCAGCTGCATCCCTGGCTTCTCTCTATCCATGAGATGCCAGTTTTACTCCCCAGGTGTGTCAAATGTCTCTAGATATTGCCACATGTCCCCCAGGGGACAGTGTCCTTGGTTGAAAAACACTAGACTAGACTGTAAAGTGCCCTGTGAGGCATGGCATGGATTTGGCATCTCACAGTGGTGTGCCTTCTGGTGTGTGTTTCCCTGTTGCAGGCTGGAAATGTATCAGCTCACCAGGACCTGCTATGAGGCCCTGGCCTCGGTGCTCACTGTCTGCAGATCACTGAAGAGCCTGGATCTGGACTGGATTAGCTTAGACCATGATGGGGTGGTTGTGCTGTGTGAGGCCCTGAACCACCCAGACTGTGCCCTGCAGCAGCGCCGGTGAGTGGATGTCCTTTCCCTCAGAGTCAAATCAGCCCATGGTAGGTTTTCCCAGTCTTGGCATGACTGACATTTGGGTCGGGAGTCCTTCGCTGTGGGGACCGTCCTGAGCATCGCGGGATGCTGAGCAGCACCCCTGGCCTCTCCCTGCATATTACATGCCCATAGCACCTTCCTTCAGTCATGATGATCAAAAATGGGAACTTCAAAGTTGCTAAGAGACAAGATTTCAGTTCTCACCACAAAAAAGAAACTGTAATAATGTGACATGATGGAGGTATTAGCTAATGCTAAGTTGGCAATCATTTGGCAATTTAGAGATGTATCAAACCAATGTGTTGTATACCTGAAACTTATCCAATGTTCTATGTCAATCATATCTCAATAAAATAATAATAAATTAATTGAAAATTAAAACAGAAGAGCTATAACATCCATTCCCTGAAATAAAAAAAATGAACATCTCCAGATCTTGTCAAATGTCCCCGGAGGGGCAGAATTGCCCCAGGCAAGAACCACTGCCTTAGGGTAAACACCACCTCCTGCTCACATTGTCCATAAAGAAGGAACATCAGCTCAGACATGGTGGCTGGATCTATAAAGGGCTGAGCAGTTCTGACCCAGAGGCACTTTCCTGGAAGTGCAGCAGTCAGCATTGTTCTGAACGTCACATTTGCATGTGAAGTGTATGCATTTGACATCCGTAGAATGAATATTTGGATGCCCTCCATACGCCAGGCCCCTGGATGACATGCTGAGGAGGAACAGAGTGGATCACACCCCTATTCTCCACATTCCTATCCTCTAGGAAAAATACGTGCTTTCTCTGCACACTCAAAACGATCTTGCCAGTCACTTCTCGGGAAGAATGGCTTGGAAGTAGGCAGTGGGATGTAGAGAGGTGAACAATCATGTGTAGAGTCAAGAAAACTTTATTTCTATTTTCCCAGCCTTTGCAAATCTCCTTTTGATGAGGAGATTCAGACGCTGCTCACAGCTGTGGAAGAGAAAAATCCCCACCTGACCGTTTCCCATCTTCTCTGGGTCAACGAAGAGTACAGGATCGGGGGTGTGCTCACCTGACGGGGGAACACCTCAAAAATCTCACAAAGCCTTCTCCTTGGTCACAGTGGGCCATCCTCCTCCCAGCACACCCTGTCCTGTAAGCTGTAATTCATGGTGGTGGGGGCTGTGATTTCAGGCCTGTCCCTTTACAGAGTCCTAGTGGTATGACTGTGGATGTGCCATCTGTGCCTAAGCCGCCATCCCCACCTTTAAAATTCCCATCTTAGCTTGTGATGGAGGAATACATTAAATGGATGAACACTTTAGAAAGCATGACTTTATTTTCTTAGTGAGTGTCTTGGGAAGGAGGAGCTTGGATTTGAAGGAACCACAATCCTTTGACAATTTTGACTTAGAAGCGATGGTAGAATGCATCTATAGATCCTAGATTTTATTGCTATCACTACATTTAGCACCCACCCAAACTTTCCATTTTTAGTTTGTTCAAATTTACATTTGATCCGTTTCATGGTCTAATAAAAAAATACATTTCCAAATCTGTACTTATCCTTTAGAATATGCCACTCCAATAGCCTTTTAAAAAACTTCAGTATTCTCTTTTCCAAATGTTACACAGTTTAATCCAACGTTTTCTTTTTCAAATATACGTAAATACCTCATTGTCTTAATTAAACATTGTCTGGTTTTCTGTTGCCTCTATAAGAAATTGTTCATGCCTTATTGACCCTATATAGAACTTAATTTTTGTTGAGTATTTTGAAAACTTGCAACAAACTATTTTTCAGAGAAGTTTTACATCTACCACAAAAGTGAGAGGAAGGTACAGAGATTTTCCATACACTCCCTGACCCTATATATGTCCCTGGTTGATCTAAGGAGTTGACAAATCCCAGTCACGATCCATCCCACTTGTGTTGTCTTTGTTGTTGCTATTGTTGAACTTGGCAAGCTTACTCTAAAAATAATACGGAAATGCAAAAAATATAGAATATCCAAACCAATCTTGAAGAATAACTTATTGACTGACTTGCCATAAATAACATACATATGATTCAGGGTCATCTCATCTATCTTGTGAATTTTCTTTTTATTATTTTGCCCAATTTGCTATTTGGCTTTTGGCCCCTCTCTTGATTTTATTTTGTTTATTTATTTTTTTAAAGATTTTATTTATTTACTTGAGAAAGAGAGAATGAGAGAGAGATAGCACGAGAGGGAAGACGGTCAGCGGGAGAAGCAGACTCCCCGCCGAGCAGGGAGCCCGATGCGGGACTCGATCCCGGGACCCCAGGATCATGACCTGAGCCGAAGGCAGTTGCCTAACCAACTGAGCCACCCAGGTGCCCCCCTCTCTTGATTTTAAATAATTCTGAAGCTATCCCTCTATCTGTGCTATTTTTACTTCCCCTTGAATCTTTTCTGTACATCCAGGAATACTTCTTCCCAGGGCAAACTCTGAAAATAAAGGACAGCCTGGTTGACCGATGAGGGACAAGGGAGGAGGGCTCTCTGGGTGATTTGGGAAGCATATAATGAGCTCTTGGGGAGTCACGTGGACATTAGAGATGCTCACAGGTTCTGAGGTAAGATAGACTAACTTCAGGTGGGATATTCTCCAGATGTAGAAGACGTGGGGCCCTAAGTCACAGGAATTGTGTTATTTAAGTCAAGGGAGAGACCAGTTTCCAGATCAAATGGAGATGGTCAGTATGAGCTAATCATGGTGTCAGCCTGATTCTGGAAACAGGAAATGCCCATTTGGAAATACTGTAAGAGGAACCCTTGACCCAACATTCAGTTTCTTTTTTTTTTTTTTTTGATGATTTATGGTTTTATTTATTATTATTACTATTTTTATTCTCAATTAGCCAGCATATAGTACATCGTTAGTTTTTGACGTAGTGTTCAACAATTCATTAGTTGTGTATAACACCCAGTGCTCATCACAACACGTGCCCTCCTTAATACCCATCCCCCAGCTACCCCATCCCCCTACCCCCGTCCCTTCTGAAACCCTCAGTTTGTTTTCCGAAGTCCATACGTTGAGTTTCAATTCCACCACAGATGGCAACTTTGACTCTGAACTTAGATTCTTCCACAGGGAACATAGAAACTTCTCTCTGCCTGTTGTTTAGCAGATTTTCAGGAACTTTAATTACCAAAAATTACCATTGATTACCAGAAGAGGCTGGTGAAGACTTGCAATGGGGATAAAATTTGCTTCTCATTAGAGACGCCCCAGATTCTCCAGGCAGACAGTGTTCCTGAGACACAGCTGACATGGTGATGTCATCTCTGTGGGGAGATGAGGTCTAGGGACCCTGTCCCTATAACTACGGCTCATCCTGATTGACACTTCCCTGCACCGAACTCTGGAGCAAGGACCAGCCAGGTGAGTGCTTTCTTATGTTCAGTCTCAGGGAAAAACCAGGAGACAAGTAGTCTCCAACAGGAGAGGAACTCAGAACTGGGTTTGTGTAGTAAGGTTGTAGAGGACAGGTACTAAACCTGCCTGTGCTCTGGCTGGGTTGGTGGCTGGGGACATGTGTTGGGGAGTGTCTCTGGGTGGGACCACAGTGGAGAGAGTCACTGTAGATCTCTGTGTCCTAGAGTCCTTGACAATGAGGGAAAAAAGACGGGGATCTCTTAATCTGAGCCAAACTTTGGATGAGCAGAGTCGCTGACCTCCTCAACCATGTACAGAAGAGTCTGCTTATTTTCTCAGACCTAACAGATTTTAGGCTTGTGTATGAATACGTGTAGAAAATTGATGTGCAGAGTTCAGGTTATAACTTCAAAATGCTGACATAAATAAGGTCCACTGACACACACATACACATACAGAGAGATATTCACAGAGAAAAACAGTCTATGGTGTAATGATATTAGGATTTAATAACCCTATTTTTTTTTTTCCTTTCTGAAATCCTACTGCAGTAGAATGCAATTGCTTCTGTATTCTTCTGGAGATTTTTGGGGTTATTTTTCTTTGTTTTGTAGTGTGTGTGTGTGTGTGTGTGTGTGAGAGAGAGAGTGTTGCTCTGCATGTGTGTGAAGCATCAAGGAGAAAGAGAAAAAATGTTAGTGAGATGAATTATATTTAATTTTCAAGTCTCAGAAGTAGGTTGGTGGAACATACCTGATCCATTTTTCCCATTTGACATTGTAATACCTTTTACTTCATATTGTAGTGATAGATAATCAAAACAAGGAAACAAATATTTTGTACCATAATTATGTTTCTACTGCTATTATTACTACTTCTAACACTATATGGGAACTAACTTTGTTTTGGCCACTGCGATCAACAGTTGACATGAAATTCACATTGTGTTCACTCTGAGGTCATTTTAGGGTCATGTTGCTTAATCAGAAGGCTACTGATTTTTTAGAAGGTATATCATATTCAGTCACTCTGATGAATAATATTAAGCATTCTCAAAAGCTGACTGTTGCAAATTTATTTTTATTTTTATTTTTATTTTTAAGATTTATTTATTTATTTATTCATGAGAGACAGAGGGAGAGAGAGGGAGGGAGGGAGAAAGAGAGAGAAGCAGAGGGAGAAGCAGGCTTCCCGTGGAGCAGGGAGCCTGATGCAGGACTCGATCCCAGGACCCTGGGATCATGACCTGAGCCGAAGGCAGACGCTTAACCATCTGAGCCACCCAGGCGCCCTGACTGTTGCAAATTTAATGAGTTAGATAATCTTATCCATTTGAACATGAGTTTGCATTTTTCTACTTCATTATCTTAGGTTAATGAATTATGGTGACAGAATAATGATAAATTCGAAGAGCGGTACAGTGTGACCACCTCCTTTCACTTATTTATTTACTAAGTGCATGTTACTTAACACTTTTTGTGGGTCAATCATATTTTGTCATAAGACAAGCATGGTTCTTAAGTTTATGTTAGTTTACATTCTGGTGAAGAGTCAGAACATAATAGTAAATACAAACCATGAGGGACTCTTAACTCCAGGAAACAAAGGAGGGTTGCTGGAGGGGAGGTGGGTGGGGGGATGGGGTAACTGGGCAATGGGCATTGAGGAGGGTATGTGATGTGATGAGCACTGGGTGTTATATGCAACTGATGAATCACTGACCTCTACTTCTGAAACTAATAACACACTACATGTTGATTAGTTGAATTTAAATAAAATAAAATTTGAAAAAGTAAGTAGAAGTACAAAGTAATAATGTGAAATTGGTGTCTGTGGCATGTTCTCCAGGTCAAGTCTCCCGTGGAATATGACTGTCTCCCTTTTCAGGAGAAGAAAAGGCCCAGGATCCCTTTATGAGGTCCTATAATTAGGAAGAGTCCTCCCGAGGCACTAACAGAGCCTGCTCTTCACTCCAGGCCACTCTGAAGCCCTCACCATGTCTTTTCAGAACAATGCGCTAAGAACCACAGGGGAAAAGGCTCTGAAAACCATCTTGTTTTTCCAGATGGGCATTGGGGCTCTGGCCAATGTCACCCTCTTCTTCCGTAACTTCTCTCCAGTCTTGCATGGACACAAGCAGAGGCCTCCCCACATGATTCTCACCCACATGGCTGTAGCCAATCTCTTGGATTTTGTCTCTGCCGGGATTCCCTACATGAAGGCAGCTTTTGTTTTGAGGAAGCCCCTGTCCAGTCTTGGGTGTAAATTTGTATATTATATACACAGAGTGGCTCGTAGCACCACCATGTGCTCCACCTGCATCCTGAGCACCTATCGGTTCCTCACACTCATCCCAGGGAGGACGGTGTGGACCATGCTCAGAGGACAAGCCCCCAAGGTCATTCATCGTTCCTGTTGCATCTGCTGGATGTTCAGCGTCTTCATGAATACCTATGTTCCCGTGAACATCACTGGTGCACAGCACGTGGGAAATAGTACTGACACCCAAGGGAAGTGGTTCTGCTCATCCTCGGATCCCATTGCAAAAAAATCATCCTGTGGGTTGCTGTGGATGCCATGTTTATTGGCCTCATGGTCTGGTCCAGTGGTTCCATGGTGCTGCTCCTGCACAGGCACCACCAGAGAGTGCGGTATATTCACACCCCCAACA